CATCACTGTACCACAGCCTGGGTGACAGAGCAAGCCTCTGCTTGAAAATAAATAAAAACAAAGCGGAACACAAGAGATACTCTCTTTAGCTATATGAAGCCAGAACATCAGTACTGAATGTATTAGTTTTGTTACAATAATCTAGTAGAGGATCTAGAAGTAGTAATGAGAGGAAAGGTTATATTATAGCAGAAGGTCAATAGCTAAATGTCCAAAACATAAATCAAGAAATGGCAATAGAAACATAACATTTAGCCCTGTGGAAGACTCTGCAGAAGAAAGCGAAGTTCCAATCGAGTTCCCCTGTGTATATGCAGTGTTTGACTCCGGCTCTATCACTTCGGAGTTCTGCAGCCTTGGCAATTACATAGCTTCTTCATGCCTAAATTCATCAACTGTAAAATGGAGATTGTATCGACATTATGCAGATCGTACTTTAAAAAACAGTAACACACGCAAAACATGTAGAATACCTGGCATTTAAAATATGATTAATAAAAAAATTTGAACCAAAACTAGTAAAAATACAGTAAGAAGAATGTAATAACTGGTAGGCAATACTAGCAAAACAACCTAGAAGAAAATGTCATGATAAACCAAGAGGAAAAGAATGGAAGCCATGCGTAGGTAAGCCGATGGCGTGAGGGGTCAACTCACCCTGTGCCCTTGGTCCTGCCACATAACCCAAGACTCCTTCAAGTTCTGCCCACCCCTCATGGAGCTTTCCCTGGCACACCTGGTACACGGGAACAAGCCTAGACCCCCGATTCTGGCCCCTGCCCACCCACCTCTGTTAGCAGATGGCTGACCCGCCACTAAAGCTCCTCTCCTCCACAATCAATAGCTTTGGTCAGGGCACCTTCAGACCCTCAGGCACTGCAGTCACGCTCCCTCAGGTAAGCTCTGCTTTGTCGTGAGAACTCATCCCAGAAAGCGCCCTCCTGTCGGCCCCAGATGGGAGGCCGCACCCACCTGCTGCCTCTCTGCTCCTGCCAGTAGGTTCACCTCCAGGCTGCCTAGGAGTTGCAGACCTCTCATTCAGACACCTGCCGCCTGATGGACCTGCCAGTTTAGATGTGCGCCCTCGCCGCCCCTTTAGCCTCTCGGAGCAGCTCAGCTGTGGCTAGGTCTTCCCCTCTTCTATGATGCCCTACAAAATGCCACCCACGTTCTGAGTAGGCCCCAAATGAAGGGACAATAACAGGACCTCTCACAACTCCCTCCCAGGCCCCTTGGACCCATCCCCCAGGCCTGGCTCAGCAAAGCCTCTCTCTGATCAGGGACCCTCGCCCACAGCCCATTCTAGAACACTGTGATTTAATGGACTTGTGTTGCTGTCCCTGTTTAGACCCCCAGTCCCTGCAGGGCAGGGCTGCAGAAGTGGCACTGGACCTCTCTCCATATGCCACATAGCATCCAGAGTGCCCTGCAAGTCAGCTCCCCACACGGATGGTGGAAGGAGACAGTGAGGAAGGCAGGCCAAGTGGGGCAGGGCAGGGCAGGGCATGGCAGGGCATGGCTTTCCCCTGTTTAGAATGCCGTTTCCTCTGGCAACCCAGTCCTTGCATTTGGTGTGTTTGGGACCAGCAGGCAACAAAATCTTTGTCTGCTCTTGATCCGGTCTCTCCTGCTCTCCTTTTCCTCGGGTGATGTTTTTTGATGCCAAGCATGGGACATAGTATTTCATCTGGGCTGGATGCCTTGGGAATGGGAGCTGCTACCTCTGCCTTGAGGGTCTGCAATTGCCTGATGGTAAAAAGGACCAGGAAGACGATCGAATTTCTCCCATCACCAACCTCTCAGGGCCCTCCAGCACTGCTTGGACAGACCCTGACAGGGACTGCACCAGCTCCCGAGATGCCCCACAGCCCTGTGGAACACAGCGGAGAAGCCTGGGACAGATGCTTCTCCAAGGCCACTCCCCAAAAGCAGTCAAAGTGGTCCCTTTCCGCTGTGTACTCCACGGTGGGATAACTCTCACTAGGACCTTTGACTGGTAAATCTCCTATCAGGCCACATTCTCTCTTCCTATTGTGTTGGCTTACTGGTTCTGACCTTTGGAAACCACAGAACAAATTTCACCTGCTGTATGTTAACCACTTAAATGGCTGAAAATAGCTCTAGAGCTCCTTTTACAGCTCCTTTCCAGACACAGTAAAGTGATCACAAGGGGGTGGTTCTCAGATACCAGCATGTCAGGATAGGAAGGATAAGACACAAACTCCCATTCACGGGGCTTTACATACCCCGTCAGGCCAGAGTCCTGCCCAGGAGTTTTCAAACTGGAGTTATGGTTGGGACAGGAAGAGGAGGGAGGTACAGAACTCTCCAACAGGGAGGAGGCTGCAGAAAGGGATGTGTGGGCACTCCCAACAGAGGCAGAAAACAAAGCCGAGGGGAGACCCAGTCCCTGAGGCCCTCAGAGCTGCCCGGCCACTATCTGCCCAAGGACTGCCAAACTCCTCTCAGCTCTGTGAGCCACTCCCAGGACGACTTCTGCAAATCTTTTTTTTGGCTGATGCTAAAGATGGGTTTCTGTCCTTGGCAACAGCAAGGGTCTGACAGCCAGTCCCAGGGCCAGCCCGGAGGATGTTTTATGAGAGGCTGGTCTACCACTTTGGCTAGTTCACACTTAGTCCAACCAACACTTCCTGAGCACCAATCGTGTGCCAGGCATGGCTCCAGATGCTAGAAAATACAAAGATGGAAAAGGCATGCTGTCTGCCATAGCCAGAGGCTTAGAGCACATACATAAGAGAACACTCATTCTACTAGAAGTGAGCTTACAAGTCAGTGGTATCTAACATCTAAGACAAAAAAGTTAAAATTGTCCTAGGCCAGGTGCGGTGGCTCACACCTGTAATCCCAGCACTTTGGGAGGCTGAGGCAGGTGGATCATCTGAGGTCAGGAGTTTGACACCAGCCTGACTGATATGGTGAAACCCCATCTCTACTAAAAATACAAAAATTAGCCAGGCGTGGTGGCTCACACCTGTAGTCCCGGCTACTTAGGAGGCTGAGGCAGGAGGACTGTTTGAACCTGGGAGGTGGAGGTCGCAGTGAACCGAGATCGCCCCACTGCACTCTAGCCTGGGTTACAGAGGGAGACCCTGTCTCAAAAAAATGTCCTGGCTAGTGACAACGAGATTGTCAAGAAGGCTGGATTTTTAGCTTCTTTAAAAAGACTAGGTTACAAATACTACAACGACCACAAAAAAACAGGGAGCAGGGAGAGCAAAGACACAAAAGATAAAACTTATCACAACCTCGACAGCGGTGGCAATATGACAGTCAAGGCTACTTCAGAACAAAATGCAGTCATTGCTGATGGTTAGACCAATGCTTGAGCTGGAAACATGGGGGAACCATCTCACGATCAGCAGCCTCCAGTCCTACAGACTGAAGAGGCTGGGAGGTCAACATGATGGAGAGGAAGCCTGCCGCCTAGCTGGGCTGCCCAAGCCCTGGTCTGGGATGGACCCTGGCAGAACAGGACTTGTGGGTCATGGTCCAGAACGTCTGGCCCACAGTGACTGCCCTTCATTTTTACTGGATACTACAAGTGGCTAAACAAGGGAAGTCCCCGGGCTTCTGTCTCAGTTCCTAAGACCTGAGAATACGTACTCCAAAGGCCCCTGAAAGACCTGAAGGCCGGGGTTCATAGGGCCAGCATCAGTGACAAAGGCAACATTAACCTGTGATGCTGATGGGCACATCTTAAAGTGCAGATAGCAGTTTATGGACCACTGTGAAAATGTCTGGGATGAATAGGCCTTTTCATTGCCTCCTCCTTGAAAGCCCCTTTTGTAGGGAGACGGAGGAAGCAACAAAGGAGAGGTTTATCACCATGAGCCCGTTCAGCAGCTGTTTTCTTGTTCCTTGTTTAACTTCTCTCAAGAGAGCAGAGTTATCGGTGCAGCTGAGCAGGTGTTTCAGGCAGGTGATTTTGTTTCCATCAATTTTATTAAATAGTAGACCAGACTGGAGGGTTATCTCACGCACTTGGGAACCCCCGCCCTGTGCCTGCCAATAACGAGGTGCGTGCTTGGGAGGAAGGTTACATTCTGCTCCCTGATGCTTTCAGCATCTTCAAATCTCTAATAGGAAGCAGAATTTAAGAGCTACAGCCCACTCCTACCCTGCGACATCTGGATCTTGTCTGCTTTAGCAATGTGTTAGAGAAACAGTCAAGTTGGAGGCTTTCAAGTTCTCAGGAAAAAGCAGATGAAGAGAAGCCTGACACGTCAAAGCCCAGCCACACCAACCATCACACTAATGACTCCGCTCATAGTCTCATGTTCCAAGCGACTGCAAGGAGACTTTCACATAAAACATGGAAAAAAAGTTTGAAAAATCAATTTAGGCTGGGTGCCATGGCTCATGTCTGTAATCCCAACACTTTGGAAGACCAAGGTGGGCAGATCACCGGAGGTCAGGAGTTCGAGACCAGCCTGGCCAACATGGTGAAACCCCATCTGTACTAAAAACACAAAATTAGCTGGGCTTGGAGGCGCACGCCTGTAATCCCAGCTACTTGGGAGGCTGAGGCAGAAGAATCGCTTGAACCTGGGAGGCAGAGGTTGCAGTGAGCCGAGATCACACCACTGCACTCCAGCCTGGGCTACAGAGTGAGACTCTGTCTCAAAAAAATAAATGAATAAATAAATGAATGTGAAGCTCAAGACCCCCTCAGCCTATACGCTGGACTTGCAGGTCTGGGCGAACTTCCTTCTCATGGAGAAGGCAGGCCCGCAGCACGTGGGCGAACTTCCTTCTCACGGAGAAGGCAGGCCCGCAGCACGTGAGCGAATTTCCTTCTCACGGAGAAGGCAGGCCTGCAGCACGTGCATCTTGCACTACAGTTGTCTTGTTCACCACAGCAGGGAACTTTCCTAGCCCTCGCCCGGCCTCAGCTGCTGACAGCCACCACTCCCTCGGGGGCTGGGGAGAGCAGCAGCGTCTCCATCCTGAAGACTGTGTGCCACTGGCCCTTTGATTACCTTCAGCTTTCTCCTGCTGTAGAGCCATCGCCACAGGGAGCGAACATGCGGTGACACATTTCTTTCTCTTTATCCGTGTAGTCCTTGTAATAGCTGGAGAGAGAAATACACACTTGTTAGAAGAGGTCTGTGTTTGGAGGCAGTGACATCTGGTGGCTACAATTCTCCACTCATGTCCAGAAACACTGAAAATTCACCAGGACTCAAACTGAACTGGGAGGGATGAGGTAAGTTGGAGAGGTGGAGAGGCAGGGAAAGCTCCCAGAGCTGGCCAAGGAGCCAAGCCACTGGATAAAAGGCCGGTAACTGGAAAGGATAGCCACCCTGAAGGGCAGGTGCCTCTGGCCATGAGGCTCCAGGCTGAGTCTCGCCAGGTGACCCCCGTACCCTCAGCCGCCTCTAACCTCTCCTGGTTTTCTCACTGAAGAATGGCCAGAGCCCCAAATTTCTGCATCTAACCTGACAGGATACTTTTAAATACCAGAAAGGAAATTGCTGGCAAGTCCTAAAAGACCAGAACGGTAACCACTGGATCCAAACCTAAGAGATACTCACATCTCAGACACCAACACCAAGCAAGCTTTAACTAGCGATCTGGATGGAATGTTTAATAAAGTAGAGAATTTATTACAGAAGAACATACACATTAAGAGTCATGGATCTATTACCAAGTGATGGGATTACAGGTGACTCCTATTTATACAGACATTTTCAAGGTTTTCTATTAACAAACACAAAACTTCCATAGTGAGAGAAAATCACATTACTAAAAGGCTGCTGTACTTAGTCATGGGAGTGACAAGGAGGTGAGTCTATGGGTATGAGTCAGACCCAAGAGGTGTCTCCTGTCCCACCAGGACCACCTGGGGGCCTTTCTGCACTTGGTTAGGGAGCAGTCGTTCTCGGTGGAGCACATGGGGTAAAGCGCATCGGAAGACTCTTTAAAAGTGTCACCACAGTGGCTCACGCCTGTAATCTCAGCACTTTGGGAGGCCGAGGTGGGGGGATCACCTGAGGTCCGGTGTTTGAGACGAGCTGGTCAAGACGGCAAAACCTGTCTTTCCTAAAAATACAAAAACTAGCCAGGCATGGCGGTACATGCCTGTAATCCCAGCTACTTGGGAGGCTGAGGCAGGAGAATTGCTTGAACCTGGGAGGTGGAGGTTGCAGTG